TTTTTGTACACTAAATAAGCCCAGTAGGGCATCTAAATAGCTGTCGGGACTGACAGGTTTGTGATTCATTTTTTAAAAAATGAAGGCGTCAGTGATGTAATTGCAAACTCGTTGCTGCTCCATTCCTCCTCCTGTATAACTAACCCTTCCTGCTCTATTCCTTAACTTGTTATGCATGCGCAGGCAGCGAGTGACGCGTGGGGTACTCAGACTTCTGTCACGTTTCACTCCAAATCCCGTAATGTGCTCACAACACAATGAAAGATTATATGCAGCACGAAGATCTACACTTTTGAAAGGAGAAGTAAGAAACCAGGGCAGGCTGAGAATGAGAGGAGAGACATCTGGGAACTGGTGAGAAAGAAACAGAGATAGAAAGACCTCTGAGTGAAGGAAGAGGAGAGAGATAACAAGGAAACTGGAGAAAGGTGTAGAAAGGTAAAAAGGAATCAGAAAGGAGTGTTGAAGAAGTGGGTGAAAGATAAGAGTCCACAGTGTATGGTGCTATGTAAGGGGGACAGAGATGCAGGAATTCAGCTTACAACAGAGAGTTGCCTGCTGCGGTAATTTATGAGCTCTGATTACGTACTTATATAGTTCAACAGAAAATAATGTATTTGTTTAACAATAAGAACAAGGATTGGGTAGAGGTCTGATGGCTTTTTGGATTAGTAATGGTATGTAGAACCTTTGGGTGACCTCTCTATTGCCAGCTCAGATCTAGCTGTTTGATAGCTTTAACAATCTGGCAGCTGTTGGCCTGTGTGGACTGAGTTGATGAGATAGGGAGAACCTGAGAGAGGCAGGGCAAAAGAAATAAAGAATCATGGGGGTATGAGAAGCTTCTTCTCCAAGTACAATAGTTCGAAAAGCAGGGCCATCGCTTTGTTTTACAAGGCTCTGGAGGTAGCAAATGAGACTGGGGAAAGAAAACTTGGCAACTGTTACAAGATATATGAACTGAAAGGGAGCTTGCGACTTTTACAAAGGGGTGCGCTAAAAACCTGCACTCGGCTCCTGCACTCAGATCCTCGGAGATGTGATTAACCCGAATATTATGAACAGTAGGGGCATAGTTCAATCATAGGTTAAAATCTGAACTTTAACTGTTCTTACACTGTTTACACTTAGCTTGTTCTGATGCCGCTATTCATGTGAGTCATGCTCCTCGTGCTGTATTTATAGACTTTAGACAAACTGTGAGCTGGAAACTTGATCCTTTAACCCATGGGACACATATCAGAATAAATGTCTTCTTTGCCACATGCGCTGGCTACAGACTCCAGGGAGTCCTTCACCAGAGAGGCCTGTCAGTGACCACTCCTACCAGAAGGGTGGTTTTCTGTGGGGGTCATGGTCAGTGTTCCTCCCGGCCCAAGCTCCAAGAGTCATTCTCCTTTCTCCAACAGAACATGAGGGAATGCATGCTGAGGGCTGTCTGTTGGAGGGCTTCAGTGGCAAGATTACGCTGCAGGGAATGATTCTGCAGCCAGTGGGCACATAAGTAGCTGGATACACACACGGTATCACCCACATTTCTGCTGCTGCAGTGGGTGGTTCAAGGACTTTTTGACAAGAGGTCACAGGTTCAATATAATTTTACATTAAGGAATGGGTTAGGGTTTTGTTTTTGTTTTTGGTGGGGGGGTTAAGTAAATTTTGGATTTACCCTAAGAGGGGTAGTATCTCTGTAATGACACGTTTGCTGTCATCAGACTTCTACTCCTGGTTCCTAATAGTTTTGTTAAACTTTACTTGAAAGTATACACAATCCATGATAAATATGAAACAAAAAACAGGACTATGTAGCACTTCAAAGACTAACAAGATGGTTTATTAGATGATGAGCTTTCGTGGGCCAGACCCACTTCCTCAGATCAAATAGTGGAAGAAAATTGGCACAACCATATATACCAAAGGATACAATCAAAAAAATGAACACATATGAAAATGACAAATCAAATTTCAGAATAGAAGGGGAATGGGGAGGGGAGGAAAATGTCCGTGAGCTAATGATATTAGAGGTGATAATTGGGGAAGCTATCTTTGTAATGGGTAAGATAATTAATGTCTTTGTTTAGACCGAGGCATAAAGTGTCGAATTGAAGCATGAATGACAGTTCAGAGGATTGTCATTCATGCTTAAATTCGACACTAGACTGGGCCAAATGTTGGGAAAAAACCCCTCTTTTGAAAGCCCCCTTCTTCCTCATAGAATGAGGAATACAGGGGCTTCCGAAAAAGTGCATTTGCTCTTCTGCAAAAAAAGCGGAAGAGCAAACTCGTTCCCTGGATGAGGTGGAGTTTTTTCGGGATATCTCTGGTATCCCAGCCCCTCCCTCCCCCTCCTCCCCGCAGTCTAGCCATACCCTAAATGGGATGAAAACATAGTTTTGTAAAAAGGAAAGAAGTTACTGTATAAAGTAAATTACAAGGTTCTGGGTTTCACTTAGACTGGACTTCAGTCAAAGAATTCTTGCCTTGCTTCTGCTTTTCAGTAATTAATGCTTGAATGAACTGACTGTGGCATAGTTCATCATGAAGAGAAATGAGCTGGGTTCTTAAAGCATGGCAAGAGCTTATCCCGGTATAAGATGATCATTCTTGATATGGCAGTTGAATGAATAAAGCGAGTATTTGCAACCTCAGCAATCTTTGCCAAGTCTAGGTGAAAGAAGTTGCTTTGTTGCCTGAAATGTGGGCATCATCCTTCATATTTTTCATGTTATAATTTTCTGGACCAGTTGTGAAGACACCAGAGAAGAGCAATCCGAGCCAAAAAATGCCAGTCAGATATGGAGCTGGGATAAAATTTTCAAAAAGCAACTAAGTGACTCAGAAGTCCAAGTCCCATTTTCAAAAGTAACTTAGGCACCTAGGGAAATAGTTGACTTTTAATCAGACTTAGGTACTGAAGTGCTCAAATCATCTTTGAAAAATGGAATGTAGGTCCTAAATCACCTAGGCACTTTTGAAAACTTTACCTCTGAACTTTGGAGAAGTTCAGAGGGGGGTTGGCTCTAGGGTTTACATTTAGGTCTGTTTCTATGTATTTATGTATCTTTTTTATTTGTTGAAGTAAAACTATGCTATACAAGATAAACAATAATGTTCCCTCTAAATCTAGTTTGCAGAGATTATAGATGTTAATAACTATCGGTATGTCTACACTTGCTCCCTAGTTAGAGCTAGGGATGCAAATGTAGCCGACCGAAATTGCTAATGAAGCAGGGATTTAAATATCCCAAAAATACTCTCCAAAAATGAGGAGTAACGTTAGTTCGAACCAAGGGGTTTGATTCGAACTAACACATCCTGGAGTGCACTTCCTTGTTCGAATCAGCTGTTGAGCGGAATAATTAATGTGCAGGCGAGATTATGCTAATAAAGCATGGAATATTTAAATCCCCGCTTCATTAGTAATTTCGGTCGGCTACATTTACATCCCTAGCTCAAATTAGGGAGCAAGTGTAGACGTACCCTATGAGATTCTAGAATAGGCATAAAATGCATCCCCCGTTTTGCTCTATAGGAACACTAAGACTTATCCTTTCCTTAGAAAGATGGCCCCGTAGTTCACAAAAGCAGTATTCTCCATTTTATATTTGCATTGCATAAAGGATTCCATACTTCTTAATAAGCTTATATTCCTTAGCTGTGTGTCCAGCATTACCAGTTTACACTATATCCTTGTGCTTTGGGGATTTCATATGCCAAGCCACTTACAGTACAATAAGTCAGTACTTCCACAGAAATACTGCTGGTGAAAAATTGTTAAGATGTTATTTTATTATGCTGATTTACTGTTGAGGCTGAGATTAAGTTGATCTCTTCAGGTAAACTAGGGAGGTTGTAGAATCTCTCATTGAAAGTTTTTAAGAGTAGGTTAAAGAAACGCCTTTCAGGGATGATCTAGGCATGCTTAATTCCCTCTCGACAAAGGGAGATGAACTGTATGACTCCTTGAGTTCCCTTCCAGCTTTCTATGATTCTTATGTTGATTTTTCTGCAAGTGCTTTCATGGAAAGAACATGCTATTGAGAACTTAGTGGCTAAGTAACTCTTGCTTTACAGGATGTCTTCTGATCATTTTGCTGAGACATTTCAGAAACCTTGGGTGTCATCTTGGTTGACTTATATGAGTCTGCTGTCTTGGAAATTTTAAGTTTGATTTGAAACCCTCCAAATTGACAAGTTCTCAGCTGAAAATTAAATACTTTTTGTCTGAAACCCTAACATGTTAAATTTTTAGATTTAAAGTCTACATTTTCTCTGAAATTTCACTCTATTATAAATTTTTCTCCAAAAAAATGCATACAAAACCAAAACTTCCAACCAGCCGTTTGAAGAAAGACAAAGAAATTCCAAGCTTGACAAGTAAAATTAGGTTAGTTTCACCCATAGGAATAAAAAATGATTAAACAGAATATAACATGATTTCACCATGTGGAAGTCATAACAGAATATTACTGAATTCTGGTGTCTAAATATCAGCAATCTATATACAAGTATTTTTTTTAAATCTACGTATAAAACTTTGGGCAGCAGGAAACAGACTCAAATGACAGCAATTTGCAGCATGCAACATTATTTTCAAATGCTTATTTTTTCCTAATAATTTATTTCAATGTTTTGACAGATGATAATGAAGAGGAGACTGAGATAAGTGAGGATACAGGTACGTGAAAATGTGTGTAAAAAACATATTTCTGCAAATTAAAAACCAGTCTGAGGAAGAGCTAAAAATAATCACATAACCATGGTGAACCTTGGTCATCATCTATGGTAGCCCACTAGTTTGTAATTATGTTTCTTATTAGCAATTAGTTTGAACATCAATGGGAAATAATTTTGGTGCCACCGTTTAGCTATTTTACTAAGATGTAAAAGTAGAACAACCCTTGGGGACTTCCATTTGCACATTTGCAGTCACTGATTGTGTGCGTGTGTGAGTGTGTTGTTGTTGACTTTGTGCCTCTGCATGTGATACTTCTGAGTTGGCAGGACACATTTACGGTATTTTGGCCTTCTGAGTTTATTATATGTATGCATAATTATTGTTCTCTGCTTAGTGCATTGATAGAGCTTTTATAAATACGAATGTGTATGGTATTGTGTTGGATGTACAAAATAAACACATGCAAAAGCAAGCAGTTGCCACTAAAAATTCAGCCCTTGATGATAGATAACATACTGTTATATTTTTGATACCATGGCTATTTTCTATTCTAACCTCTCCAAAAGAGAGAGCTATCTCCAATTTAGCTTTTATGGGCACCAATGCATATGTATTTTATTAACTATTTTGTATAGAGTCTTTTTGGAGTTTATTCTTATATAAATATGTAAATTAGATTTTAAAGTATTTAATTGTAAAATTAAAATAAGCTTTCTAGTTTATATAGCCAAGATAAGATTCTTAGTATCAGTTCTTTTGTCTTGCATCCTTTTTAACTCCATGAAATTAAATGAGGTTATCCTATGAGTTACACTGCAAATCACCAAGCAATTAGGTCATTTCAGTGGGATATTTTGCCGCATATCAACTTCTAAATGGATTTCAAGCAAACAAGATGACTACTTTTCTCATAGGGTGATGATGGGATACTGTATTCAGCACCATGGGTTGCTTGGTATCCTCACACCGAATTATATTTTGAGAATCAGCAATTGGATGTGCCATTAATAGTTGTGTGGTCAAAGTTTAGTATCCTTTTGCATATACTTCATATATCCTTTAATAGTAGAAAGCTATGCCATTTTGACCTAATCGTGTAAGAACTTAATATTAGTAAGGGACATTTGCATAAATGTCATAAACAGATGAGTTTGGCATTAAGGAGGGGGAACTCTGTTTATGGTAATTTAGTCACCAAGTTGAAGAGTGCCTGCTCTTAAATACTTTGTGGGGGAAAGTTGATTAATCTGTGTTTAAATAATGTTGCAACTGCTATTTGCCACTTTCAGGCGTTAATGAATCATCATTTTTCATTCCACTTGTCTTCACGAGGTCTTAGCTCCTGCAGACTGAATCAGTACTTGAAGTCAGTATTGATGATCCTGAACTTCTGAGCTATTCTGAACTAATCTGTACTCCAAGCTCATCTTTGGGTTTGTCTCTAATGTTTCAGCCTTAAACTGCCTGGGATTCTTGGAGGGTGCAATGGCAGGCTATCTCATGGGAGCTCTTTCAATATGCAAAAACAACAAAGAGTCCTGTGGCACCTTAAAGACTAGCACATTGATTTGGACATAATCTTTTGTGGACTACAGCCCCAATTGTCAGATCCATAAAGTGAAAACTTCAGTTTAGCAGGGATTTATACATACACAGATGGCAGTATGACATCACTATGGGGAGGGCCAGCACTAACGAGGCTAAATCAGTCAGGGTGGATGTGGCCCACTCCCAAGAGTTGAAAGGAAGGTGAGAATACCAAAAGGGTATTTTGTTATTCTTATCTACTTATCTTATCAGCTGTTGGAAATGAGCCCCATTCACCCTGATTGAATTAGCCTCATTAGTGCTGATCCTCCTCATAGTGATGTCATACTCCCATTTTTGCATATGTGTATAAATCCCTGCTAAACTGAAGCTTCCACTTCATGCAGCTGACAAAGTGGGCTGCAGCCCACGAAAGCTTATGCCCAAATAAATTTGCTAGTCTTTAAAGTGCCACAGGACTCGGGTTTTTTTGCTGAAAAAGACTAACATGGATACTCCTGAAACTCTTTCAATCTGGAAACCCGGTTCTAATTAAACCCAGTTGCTAAGGCTAGTAGAAAAAGTTCAGATTTCAGGGCCTGATCTCATGCCAGCTGACGGTGGTGGGAATATGTCCACTGACTTCAATGGACACCAGATCAGGCCTTTGTAACAGCTGTAGGATTCAGCCATAAGTAAGGAATAGCATATGGCCAAATGTGTAGCTTATGAGGAGATGAACATGTTGTGAGTGTATTTTCTGTCTTATGTCTGCACCACCCAAGAGTTCACATATCTTATTACATTTAGAAGCTCTCAGAAGCTCTGTTCTTCCTAAGTCTTTTTTTTTTAATAAAAGGGGGATATTTTAATTGCATGTGTTTCAGATGATCTCCAGTGATATCTGCTGATAACACAATATTAAGAGTAATTGGTACTGATGATCATTACCGTGAGTTATGACACTGGACAACAGTATCACCAGTAATTGTGCAATCCATATATTTGAATTACTAAGTTAGGAAACAATATTTTTATTTTAAAATAGCCTGATCTTAAATGAGGCACTCAAAACCAGTCCTCTAATGGCATGTAATGAGTATTTTTTCGATGATCGGTTTATTTTTCAGGATGCAGCATCTTGTAACAGCTGTTAGCATACTGTGCTGTTCAGCTCAGAGTGCTCTGATGTTATCATATTTCATACAGTCTGCTGTTAGAATGGCTGAGTCAAAAGGGCAGCTACAGTAAACGCTGTTGCAGATTTTTGCAGTTCAATATCTGATCGGTTCTTTATCTGAGAATTGTATCCTGTACCGGCAAACGGAAAGGGACTAAATGATCAGGTAGATTTTGCCCATCTTTAATTTACATGATGTAATATGGCAGTGCCATAAAGCTTATCATGTCATACAGCATGAATGAAACATGATTGTAAATCTTCATGTTTGAATTGCCTGAATTGTGCACGTTTACATTTTCAGATACGTAGGAAGGCAAATATACCAATCCTATTTCCCTAGTTGTGCTCAATGATGCTGTAGGCAAATTACACAGCTATGTGCTATTATGGGAATCACTGTTCGGTAAATACATATTCCAGCACTGTAACACCAGGTTTGTTCCCCCTCGCCAAAGTTAATTTCCTTAGTATTTGGGGCCACAGGAAACAGAAACACACACACAAGTCTCTCCCAGTGTTCAGTTTCTAAAACCTCTTCAGACCTGTCACTGAGTACAAGCTCTCCTTCACCTGTGGAAATTCACCCAACCAAGCCACACTCCTGCTCTAGTTATCAAAGCCATTGGACCTTATCCCAGAGATAAGCCTCTTGCCTGCCATTTCTCCTATCAACCCATCTGTTACACCCCCAAGTAAGTATCTTCCAGTTATCCCATGTCTCCACCAATTGTCCAACCTGCGTAGTCCCTCCCAGCATCCAAAACCTTTCCTACCCAAGATGCTAGACCCAATATTCTCTACTCACACTAGCTTTGAAACCTTTCTGTGAACTAGCCCACCTGAACGTCATCTACCAGATTGCACGTGCAGACATGTAAATGAGGGTGTGTCAGGGCACTTCATCTCCAATTTCTCTAATTGAGGGGAAAATGTCAGGCATTTGTCACTGAGTAGGATTTGTAAATGATTTGGAAGCTGGGAATGTCCTGCTTTAGGTGGCACATTGACCTTGTGGGTGTGAACCGTGGAGAAGAGCCATTCTCCAAATATTATTGTGAGTACATTACCTTTTTGCATGAATGCTTACAAATAGTAAAAGGTACAAAAGTGGTTAAATTGAACAGCCATTCCACATTCACATATATGGTTGTAAGCACTAGTTTTTGCCCGCCTTGACCAGCTCTGTTCATGACACATGTATGTCTGTGCAGAACTGAAAGGGTTAAGATTTATATCGTGGCCATAATACACAAATGCATTTTGGAAGCGTACAAAATCCCCTTTCTGTCTTTGGAGTGCAAGAAAATCGTCTGCTACAAAGCAGTGAAATTCTGTTTGAAATCGTATTCTCCTGAGATGGTTCCACCACATCCCTTTTGTGAGCATTTTAAGATTCTATCAGTAATGGAGAAACGCTGTTCCTTTGGCAAAAGTAACTGTTCTAACGTCTCCCAATGCAATCTCCCTCATCCCCCTGATCTTCGTGCAGTCAATTAAGACATTAGACATATTTTCTGATGTAGTCAGAGACTCTAGGAAGACCAAGCCATGTTAGAAATGGATACTTAGCACGGAAACTTGATTGGCATTTGATTTCTGAGTCTAGAGGAAGTCTCACAGATTGATTAGATGATAACTTCATCTTCAGAGGGGAGGGTGTTGATTGAAATATTCATATTGATTTGGTCTCCTAGAGTGAAGCATTGCCAAGCAAAAAAGTGAAAACAGCAACTCATCCCAGAGTGTGAGCGCCAGACAGGCCTTACATCAATATAGTTCATTATAAATACTCAATTTTTAAGGAATAGCAGAGCAGGTGACAATCAATCTTCAAAGTCTGTCAATTTCTATCCATTGTACTCACCATATGTGCTGAACACGGCCATAGCTTCTGACTGACTGCATGGCCTGATATTTGTTCTCTGTGGTTGAGTTTGTATGTCCATCAGTCAGGGAAAAGAGAAGCTGATTTTGCCAGGCCAAGAATCTTAATTTCATAATTTTTTTTTTCAAAATAGAGTATTAATATTTCCAGCAAACATCTGCTGGCATATAATATAGTCTTCGGTCAAGTGGTTAACCTTTGGAACGGAAAGGTCCAATTCCTGATACCAACCAAATCTGCAGTAAACTGATGAATATGAGAGTCCCTTAGGGTATGTCTAGACTGAATCCCTCTGCCGACAGAGGGACAGGTCGACATTGCAAATGAGGCAGGGATTTAAATATGCTGTGCCTAATTTGCATAAAAATGGCCACCGCGTTTTTCCGACTCAGCACTTTGTTGGCAAAAAGTGGCAGTCTAGAGGGGATCTGTTGAGCAAGAAAGCCTTTTCGGACAATCCAGGAAGTTTTTGGAGAATGTTGGGGATAACTTGGTACAAGTGCTGAAGGATCCGACCAGGGGCCATGTGCAGCTTGACCTGCTGCTCACAAACAGGGAGGAACTGGTAGGGGAAGTAGAGGTGGGTGACAACCTGGGAGGCAGTGATCATGAGATGGTAGATTTCAGGATCCTGACCAAAGGAAGAAAGGCGAGTAGCAAAATACACACCCTGGACTTCAGAAGAGCAGACTTTGACTCCCTCAGAGAACTGATGGGCAGGATTCTCTGGGATGCTTACACGAACGGGAAAGGAATCAAGGAGAGCTGGCAGTATTTTAAAAAAGCCTTATAGAAGGCACAGGAAGAAACCATCCCGATGTGCAGCAAGAAAAGCAAATATGTTAGGTGAACAGATTGGCTTATTAAATACAAAAAGGAAGCTTAAAGAAGTGAAAACTTGGACAGATGACTAGGTAGGAGTATAAATATATTGCTCGAGAATGCAGGGGAGTTATCAGGAAGGCAAAAGCGCAATTGGAATTGCAGCTAACGAGGGATGGGAAGGATAATAAGAAAGGTTTTTACAGGCATGTCAGCAATAAGAGGGTGATCAGAGAGGGTGTGGGGCACTTATTGGATGAGGGAGGTAACCTAGTGGGAAAAGCTGAAGTACTCAATGCTTTCTTTGCCTCTGCCTTCACGGACAAAGTCAGCTCTCAGACAAATGCACTAGGCAATGCAGCATGGGGAGGAGGTGGACAGCCCTTGGTGGGGAAAGAACAAGTTAGGAACTATTTAGAAAAGCTAACCATACACAAATCCATGAGCTCGGATTTTATGCATCTGAGGGTACTGAGGGAGCTGACAAGTGTCATTGCGGAGCCTTTGGCTATTATCGTTGAAAACTCATGGAGATAGGGAGAGATCCCGGATGATTTGAAAAAGGCAAATGTTGTGCCCATCTTTAAAAAGGGAAGGACAATCCAGGGAACTACAGATCAGTCAGCCTTACCTCAGTCCCCAGAAAAATCATGGAGGGAATCCTCAAGGAATCTATTTTGAAGCACTTGGAAGAGGGGATAGTGATCATGAATAGCCAACATGGATTCACAAAGGGCAAGTCGTGCCTGACCAATCTGATTAGCTTCTATGATGAGGTAACTGGCTCTGTCAATATGGGAAAGTCAGTGGACGTGATATACCTTGACTTTAGCAAAGCTTTTGATACAGTCTCCCACAATATTCTTGCCAGCAAGTTAAGGGAATATGGATTGGATAAATGGACTGTAAGATGTATAGAAAGCAGGCTAGCCTGTTGGGTCCAACGGGTAGTGATCAATGGCTTGATGTCAGGTTCGCAGTCGGTTTCTAGCAGAGTGCCCCAAGGATCTGTTCTTGGACTGGTTTTGTTCGATATCTTTATTAATGACCTGGATGAGGGGATGGATTGCACCCTCAGCAAGTTCGCAGATGACACTAAGTTAGGGGGAGAGGTAGATATGTTGGAGGGCAGGGATAGGGTCCAGAGTGACCTACACAGATTAGAGGATTGGGTCAAAAGAAATCTGATGAGGTTCAACGGATGAGAAGCTGGATATGAGTCAACAGTGTGCCCTTGTAGCCAAGAAGGCTAATGGCATATTGGGGTGCATTAGGAGGAGCATTGCCAGCAGATCCAGAGAAGTGATTATTTTCCTTTATTCGGCTCTGGTGAGGCCACATCTAGAATATTGTGTCCAGTTCTGGGCCTCCTACTATAGAAAGGATGTGGATGCATTGGAGAGGGTCCAGCAGAGGGCGACCAAAATGATTACGGGGCTGGAGCGCATCACCTATGAGGAGAGACTGAAGGATTTGGGTTTGTTTAGTCTACAGAGGAGAAGAGTGAGGGGGGATTTGATAGCAGCCTTCAACTTCCTGAAGGGAGGTTCCAAAGAGGATGGAGAGAGGCTGTTCACAGTAATGACGGATGGCAGAACAAGGAGCAAGGGTCTCAAATTACAGTGGGGGAGGTCTAGGTTGGATATTAGGAAAAGCTATTTCACTAGGAGGGTGGGGAAGCACTGGGATGGGTTCCCTAGGGAGGTGGTAGAATCTCCATCCCTAGAGTTTTTAAGTCCCAGCTTGACAGAGCCCTAGTTGGGATGATTTAGTTGGGATTGGTCCTGCTTTGACTTGATGACTTCCTGAGGTCTCTTCCTGACTTGATGACTTCCTGAGCTCTATGATTCTATGTAATCCAGTAAATTCTCTCGTTCCAAACCAGTCGGGTCCCAAAGGTACCGGAGTAGAGAGATTCAACCTGTAATAAGGTGGCGTTAGGTTGAGAGTGCATGAATATTAATGGTTTCTAAAAATGCCTCCTTTTTCCTATTAACAAGCCTCACTAAATCAGTTTGCACTTTTGGGTCTATCTCTGCAAGGAAAAGAACTCAAGACTTTCTTGGTTGCTTCTTTTTTCTAAAGCAAAAGTGTAGGGGCCAGATAGTTAAAAAAACTCAGCGCACTACAGCCCCCTTTAGGCACCTGGCCGGGTTTCCAGACAGACTCTGCACCTTGTCAGAATAATAGTTGCTGCTGGGAGCTGAGCCCTTTTTGAAAATCTAATCACTTCATTGAGGTGAGTGCTTAAGGTCGCTCAGCACCAATTATGGGCGCTGAGTACTCTTGCAGTCTGGCCCTGGGTCTTTAGCATTCATTGAGTGCACTACATTAAGGTCATTAGATGTGACAAGCCATTCTGGATACATCTACACAACACCCTGGATGGTCACCTAATTCGAACTTGCAGGGCTCAGGATTGCAGGGGTGTAAAATTGCACAGTAGACATTTGGGATTTGGCTAGAACCTGAGCATCTACACTGCAATTTTAGAGCCCTGTAGTCTGAAACACACCCCCAGGCCTGAGACAGCTGACCCTGGTGAGCCCTGACAGTGCCACTGGTCTTTTATTCCAGTGTTAGGCATATCCTAAGATGCTGATTTATCAAGTCTTCATTTTTGTAGCCTACTCAGCTAACTGTAAATCCTCTGCATGCTAGCTCTCAATTCCTGTGAATGAATCCAGCAAACCAAATTTCATTTGTCCTCTTCTTGCTGTTGTCTGATGCGAAAGTATGTGTGGAGGGGTGGGAGGATTGGAAAACTTCTTCAACGCTGAGCATTCTTATTTCAAGGAACCTTTTCTAAGTTAACTTTAAACTCGATATCAAACTTTTACCTCTGCCGTGCAGCCAAATTTTAGACTTTGTTAGTGGACTTTGGCAGTGAATGCAAAATTGGGCTTATAACAGAAATCATTCTACTTGAACTTTTTCCTCCGCTGGTCCATAATACAGTAGGATGCTCGTTGTTTATAAAAGCTACAAATTAAAATATTATTAAACTTTATAGATCCGAAGCGAAAGTGAGTGTGAAGGCAGGCATCATTTAAACAAGAGCTTTATTCAAGACTGAAATATTAAAGTTTGTTAATGTTAAGTTTGAACCCAAACACACCCGTTATGGCCTCCGTTATAGCATATGAGGCAGTGCTGAATCTTGCAAATACAAGGGTAGGTATTCTGCTTTGAAAGGAATGCTGAGATAAAATATACTTATTGCTACACTAGCCTGCATAATAGTATTTACTAAAATAATATTACTTGAAAATAATATCCTTATTACATCTTTGTCGTTGCAGAGGGATTGGAACAAAAAGGCCAGTCACCATCACCTATGAAATGCAAAGCAAAGAAATCTGAGAACCTGAAGGATGATAATGAGGGTAGGTGGTATTAAAGTTTGTATTCATCAGTTCATCCTCGTGGGTGGAAAATTTTGATCTTAATTTTTAAATGATGCAATATGGAGTGCTTTCAGTTTAAAATATTTCTACTATCTCTAATGGCTATGCATGTGTTTTTTCCCCCCTTGCTAAGATAACTTTGTCTCTAAGTCATAGGAGTAAAATTCTAGTACAAATATGTTTATGCCAGTGTAGATGCAAAACGCTGTTTTCACATTATGCTCTACTTGTTACTGTGCCTATCCTATTGGAAGTTATGGTTGTGTCTATACTTGTAGTATGCTCTGCCAATGTGTAACTAGGCCGCCATAAGTTATATACAGTGTCAATGAAAGGGTCATTATCCTTGTAATTCATTCCTTCATTGGCTAAGAGGCCTAATGGTTAGCATACTCTCAGTCTTGGGGCAGTGACCGGGGAACCCAAGCCTACCCACTCCACCGGGCTCTGCCACTGGAGCCTAAGAAGGTTGGCATCATTCGATGTCTGGAAGGGTGGGGGGTCCCACTGAATTACCATACCTGGCTGACTGCCTACTATGGCTTCTCTTTGCTTCTGGGGAAGGGGAAAAAGGAAAGGGACACCGGTCCATGAGCCCAGCCAGGCTCAGTATACAATCCTGGTACCTCAGGGAAGCATCGTTAGAGTCTTTTGGCAGGAGCTGTCTAGGTAGGTCTGTGCTCCTCTCCAACGGTCTTGCTTGTCAACCCTGCCTCCAGTTGAAGCATGCTCTGAAGAGTTGGAGGGGAGGGGCTATCATTTAACCCTTTCAGTCCCAGTGTGGTGTTTGTATACCCGTGGACAGTCCTGTGGGGTTAACTGTTCAAATAGGTGCACTATCTACCAAACTATTTCCTCTTCCTTTCTGGAAGAGAATTTAGTCTATGTATTTACATTTTAATCATGCAGATAAAGTCCCAGATCAGAAAAGCCCTTATGTAAGAACTTAAGTCCATCCCTGTTCAAGGAAGTGTAACCCATACACCTAGTGTGGTTCACTATCCCATGCAGTGGCACCTAGACTACAGCAATTGATAAGAACAAGAGATCTCTACAGGGTGGGTTGCCAGCTAGCTGGCTTTTAGCTCAAAGGGTAGAGGCTCCTATACTAAGCTCCAGAGGTCCCAGGTTCAAATTCACCTGGTGGTAGTTACAGAAGCACATAACAAAGAACATAATTCTAAACTCATGCTTATGTGCTTTCTAGATGGGGCCAAATGGTGGAAAAGCCTGTTCCAGAAAAGCAATCATAAAAAGCTATGTAAATTGCAGAGCACAATTTGCATAGCTTTTTCCGAAAAAAACCCTATAGTGTAGACCTAGCCCCACTGAAGAGCTTCATGCTCTAGAGATTAATGTTGTTTTGGGATGTGCTTGCCAGAAGAATGTTTACTTGTTGTTGGGTGCCCTCATAGTGAGATAATTAATATGATGAGCCTTAATATGGTGAGCCTTAATCCTCTGTTTCCATGACAGTTTCTGGTCACAGGATTCCTTTGACCCAATTTCTCCAAGATGACATGTTTCACTCCCACCTAAGTCAATTACTCTATGATCTTCATCACTCTGACTTAGCGTTATGAGGAGTGCCCTAAAGTACCCTTACGGGGGTGAGGGGTTATAACATGAATGATAAAGCCATGAAAGATGATAACATCCTTCACTTTAAGTAACTGCTAGTAATATGCTGTCACTGACATCCTGACTGGTTGTTAGTGGCAAGTACTTAAAGCAATGGATGTCATCACCTTGGAGGCGCGGAGGGATCCAAGAAATCTTTTCCTAACTGGTCTTCTTTCTCATTAGCCATAAAATAACGCACTGAGGCCACCTAAAAATACAGGAGGGATTTCATGTCTAGATGAGAGACTCCACAATACCAAACTAAATGCATCCATTTGAATACTGTCTGACCGCTTTGAAATATCATAGAGAATTAAAGCCTGATGTCATTTTCCCAAAAGAGGCTAAACAATAATACATACATTATATTTTTGTTTGAGACGTGTCTAGGACTTAGCGTAGTATCAGATATAAAAATGAAGAAGAAATTGGATGTTGTAAACCCCCATTTTTGCCTTTCATTGGAGTAAGATGATAATATTCCCTTAACTGCTTTTGTGCTGTACGAGCCGAGACCTTCCAGTTTTACAATTCTTGTCAATGTTTCTTCATGACCTACAGTTCACTTTGTGGAACACAAATAAATGCATTGAAAGAGAGAAGTAAATAGCATGGCAGCAGACTGATTACGTTACCCTGGAACTGTAGAATGTCTGGACTCCTTGAATTTGATGCTGTTCCATGGATTTTGCTGATGCAGAATTGAGGCCTGTAACACATAATCAGTGCTGCAAAATTTAATCTATTTGGTGATGGAATTCTCCTTTCCTTAGGCAGAAATCAAGTTGTAATGTGTAAGGGTTGAAAGTCTAAATTTATACTCAAGAATCCTTGTGATGGAGAAAAAAAAAGTAATTAATGCATCCACAGAAGGAAAAAGGAGGGAGGGAATGGACAGAAAGAAAGAGACTGTATCAATAAAATTACCTTTGCCTCAGTGTACAAGAGTCGTTAAGTAGTTTAGGCCCCTGAATCAGAATCCCTAAAAACTTGCAAATGGCTAGATTGTAATGGAACTCCCTATGAGCCATTTCAATTAAAGTAACTAGGATTTGCACACATTTGTCTGAAAACCAAGTTTAGCCATAAACTAATGATCTAATTACGACCTAGACTGTTGTTTCTAATTAATTAAAAGAAATCTTATGGCAAGCCTTGCAGATGAGCAAAGCTGTGAATATGTGGCAGCTCTGTGTATATATAGCACACTCCTTAGAAGGAAAGTATTATTTCCCCCACCCTGGCATCACCAATAATAATAATGAACCTCAGAAATTGCTAGAAGTATCTTTGTAAATTTCAAGTTCTGTAGAATTTTGTCCTATTCCTGTAACCAGGAATATGTAGCAAAGCTTTTAACGGCCTACTGACGCAACCCTCCAGGCATATCCCTATATGGCAACCTATAATACTAATCCACTGGGCTCAGTAATGATTTGTATGAAATAATATTTTTTTACAATGTGCCCAACTGCTTCAATGGTTTGAGATAATGTAGTAGTAGTAACTTCTTAGGACCTCTAAAATCTCTCCAGAAGATCACAGGAAATTGATATCTGTGTTTTTTTTCCCCTCTGCAATGAAAGAATGTTAAATAAAATGCTGTATGTAGGGAGTTTGTTTCTAGTAAGCCAAAATATACATGTGGCATGCTAATGAACATAATTAGATACTGAGGGCATGTCTACCCTACAGAGAAGAGCGATCCTCCAGTAATCTGAAGAAGTGTCCTGTGCCCATGAAAGCTCATGATACAATCTACATGTTTTGTTAGTCTGTAAAAGTGCTACCAGACCATTTGTTGTTTTTTCTGTAACAGACTAACTCGGCTCCCTCCTGGAGCCACTGGAAGTCGATCTTCTGTCGTTTGATTTAGCGGGTCTAGTGTAGACCCCCAAATTGAACACTGAGTGTAGACCTCACTGGCATCCGATGATCTGTGATCAATCTGTGATCTGAGTAGATGTTGTGGTGGCCCGGCTTAAAGTTAGCTAAATCCAGCTGCTTATTTTGCGTAGCTGGATGGCGTACCTTAAGCTGACCTGCCTGGTCTAGTGTAGCCCAGGCCTGACTGTCTAAAATATTAACGGTCTCTCTTATGTTGCTCCTAAAACTACTGTTTTATGTATCTGAACCATTGAGAGAGAAGCAAGCGTGAACTGTGTAGCAGATTTTTCTATCAGCCATTTATTGCATTGAGAATGTGTTATAATGCAGCATAGAATATTATTTGGGAGTGTAGGGCAATCTTTGTTGAACTCCCTGCAGTATTTTAACTGTTGCACTTTCACATGTGCTGTGTAATATATATATAAATTACAAGCGCACGGAAGGGTAAAATCAGCCAGTTGTAATTTGAACTTTACCATCACTCAAATGCACTCAGAGAGAGTAAAAAAATTAAAGTATGGATAACAAGTTTGCCACTGCTGAGAGAGGTATTTCCTATCTTGGTGTCTAGATAAATGTAAGATTTTGTAAAGTGACATTGTAGGCAGTCAAGATAATGAAAATCAAAATGTCCCGAAAGACACAAGAGCCTTTTGCTTTATGTGTATATTTGGAGTGATCTAAAATGTAAAGCTCTTTTCAAAAAATACAGTGCAAAAATAAACCCATAGGTAAAACAACAGTACATGTTACTACATACCTATCACCAGTTAGCACACATTACAAGTCATATTCCTCCATTACTTTATTTTCCTTGCAGTAAAACCAAAACAAACGTCCCCCTTTCTCGCTCCAGCAGTCCTAATGGACTTTCGAACACTTTGAATATTAAGGGCAAAATAACAGATACTTCCATTATCACAAGGAGGAAGAGTAGTTCCTCTTCAATTCCATCTGGAATCTCTGGGCAAAGACAGAAGAAAACCACTGAAAAGCAGCCTCATTCATTCCTGTGAAGGACCTTAGAGGTATCAACATGATCTCATAGTCTTACAGGAAACTGAAAGATCTGATAGACCTAATGATTCTTCATGGACACCTGATCTTCCTCCGTTACCTGGAACAGATTATTAACACATGCAAGAAGAGCCATCTTGTGCCATACCCAGATCAGACTCCTGATTGCACAGAAGATTTGAAGGCATACTGGAGCTCTGAGAGTTTTCCTGCTGCAGCCTTTTCCATAATCTTTATCAAAATCTAAGAATTAGATACGGTTTGATAGAGGAACAGACTGTTATTATCAAGATGGGATAATCTGAACAGAGGCCAAACCTCCATCTGAGGAAGTAGCTTGTCTGGGACTTGTGCATGTTGGATAAATTCTTTGTTTTCTCTTCACCTGGCTGACAAGGAAAACTGTTTCATGAATGATCCAAGTCAGAAAGGTCAGGATGTACATGAAT